TATCGATAAACAAAAATCATATAAAAGCAATGATAACAATTTTGCACTTAGACTATTGTTCTAGCCTTAGTACGAGTTAACATGCCTAATTAAACTACCAATAGAATTAAAATGGTTGATGTATAATAAACGTTCAACTATCGGTGTTACGGTAGTCGATGTAACTCGTACTGAGGCTACTATTATTTAAGATGTAAATAAAAAGAGTTTCTGTAGCTTTAAAATAACAATATACAAGATCGAGTTGGTGCTTGTTTATTTTATTTTTAATAATAATAAATGTTCAACAAAATTATGATTATATGTTAACAGATTAACAACAGCTTCAATATAACACTGTGAATATGGTTTCTACTCAATTAGACAAAGGGATGTATTATGTAAGAATATCTCATTCATGATTTAATTAGTTTTATTCTTCTTTTGAAAAGCATAAAAATCTGGAATAGTGTCTTATGATTAAAAACAAGTATAAAGAAACATAATTAGGCAATTTGTTACAAACTCATCTATGTGTATTTATAATTAAATAAAATGTTTTTTATTATTGAAATCACATTCTTTTATCTTGGTTGAAAGCTGTCAGCCATGTAGTGTTTTTAATATCTATAATAATATATCACTTAAGAGCGACACAAAATTAAATGTTAACATAAATTAATAAGACTGTAAATGAATATGTAAAAAAAAGTATTAATAAAAAAATAATTTAACTTTTGAAAGTGTTTTTTTGTGCAACATGCCCAATAACTAAAGAAAAACAAACAGAAACATTACCATTCCCTTAACGCTTCTTTTCTAAGTTTAGCAAAATATCCATGATTTAATTGTTTTCCATTCATATTAAATCGGGTATTGATAGCGTTGAGGTCTTAGAAATGAAAAACTCTTAAACCAGTGTGTAGGTGCCGATGCAAAGTCATAACAATGTATGATAGAGAACTATAAAAAAACATTTCAAACTAAAATAAGTTCCAAATTAACTGATAGGGCCTTAATAATGCTTTTGAAAATGCGTCGCTCTTTATTTCTAAGGTGAGCAATATAACAGTTCTGAGACTGTCATTTGCGATGCATTTTTTTGTGCGTATGATGATTTGAATTTATCAATGTTTGCAACAGTTTTATACATTTTGTTAAAAAGTTAATAGTAATTCAATGCGGTGCGGTAACATACAATAAAAACTCAAATGATCAGATGTAATATTATAAAAAATATAAACACAGGAAATTTAAAATATGCCAACAAGCTAGAATCTTAGGTATTAGAATCACAAAATTACATCTACTACAGGTTTTGAGATGTCACAAAAACAACATAATATAATAAAATATTGTTTTCTTTTTTAACCTAGTGTGCCAAACTTCTCACAATTCCACGACTTGTGTGTTCTTTAAAATACGTCAATAATGGCGTAACTCCTCGTTTTATTTATGGTATTTAAAAAAGATCACTTAAATACATATTATACATAATAAATATGTTTAAAACATTTTCATTTCAAACATTAAATATGTAATCAATAAACAAAATACAAATGAGAATTGGTGTTGAAACCTAATTTACGTGCGCTTATTCTTCAGCTTAACAATATAAAATGTTGATCACAGACAAAATTACTAATTATTATTATTATCGCGCAAATATAACATTGCGCATTTATGATTTTAAAATATAAAATACTAAACTTATCAATATAATTTACTAGAACAATAATCTGTGATTTTACATAGATGAAAAAATCAGTTTTGTGAGTAAAATTATGTCAAGGCATCATTTTTTTTAAATAAAGCGAACAACTCACAATAAAATTTCTTATACTAAGTTTTAGCGACAAGGTTTTAATTATACAGTAATATTATTCTTACATAATGTGTGGATTCTGTTCTTCTATGTGGTGAATGTAAAACTTCATTCACCTGATTTATTTACATTGTAATAATTTGTAATGACAGAGATAGTGGAACATGGCTGTAATACCTATTTATTATGTTTGTTTGTATTAAATCGGTTCAGTGTTGAAATATTATAAAACAACGTGACTTAAGAGGCAATAATTAATATACCATATAAATGTAATTATTATTTGTAACCGGTGATTTTAAAACGGTGTATATTTTGTGCCTTAAAAAAAAATATTATTTGTTTATAAATTAACTTACTCTTCAAGCTACTTTCTAACTCTCGACTTATGAATGTCACAGTCCGAAATAAATGCTATGCAATAATGATGACTATAAAGTACTATTTTACATATAACAGCAAAAAATGTGGTCTTCTAATTCAAAAAAGTTTCTAAATAGCTTTATCTGTTTAAATGGTGCTTTATCAAAAATTAAAGTTAAGACTAATCTAAATTTAAATGATGTGCCCAAAGTAATTGCGTCTATTTTCAGAGCTTGAACTATGACCAAATGTAGATTTCAGTAATTATGAAAAAGCATGATCTGTCTATTGATCATGAAGTTCAATCAAAGTATGTAATAACTTTTTAATATGTAATAATCTTGTCGTATGTTTAATATTAACTGAAACATAATAATTGAATCGCATTGTAATTAAATTATTAGAATAAAAATAGTTTGATGAAATAATTGGTTTTTGTATTATTTTAATCATTTACTTAATTAATTTTGTCTAACAGTAATATTTTAACTTCATAAATATTAAGATATTTAAATAAAATTAAATGCAAAGTTATGTAATTACAGCGAATACAACATGCATCATCACACGCTTATAACAAAATATGACGTAACTTTATAATTATTTTGTTGTTTTAAGCTCATATTTTTTTTTTGCAATTCTATCAATAGACTGTTAAAATGACTCCCAAAACCCATTGGTTTCATTCAATATTACATTCGGTACTTTTTAAGCAACATATTTGAGACTTTTTTATTTTGTTTTTCATTTTTCATATTTGTTATGTATAATTTCTCAATTCTTATTCTATATTTATCAGTCTGATAACTACATAAGAAGAATACAACCACTGATTGTTATTTGTTGAATTTAGCAACATACCCAAACGAAACGTCCATTTGTGTGATTCTTTCGACAACTAAAAAAAATATTGTGGACAAACAATATTAAATAGCACAATGATATTTTTTAAGTGGGACCTAATTAAAGTTCTACAACTATGAATAGTATTGAAATTCTACAACTACTAAAGCAATTAGGTACCTAATGGCATACTAATTATATACGGTAAAGCAACCAACATTATTTGTAGACATTAAAAAGGTTATAGCAGCTAAATACATTTTGCAATTGACAGACTTATAGATCTAAATCTAACTAATAATACTCTATCAGTTTAATTTTTCATCGAAGTCAACCTTTTTCCTTTTTATACTATTTCTCTCATTTTATAAAAAACTCTCTAATTTATTGTTAGTCGATCTCTGTACAAACATACCTTCACACAAATATAACATTAATTAAATAAAAAAAATTATATGTAGTTTATATGTAAATCAAATTTACTCGTGTAATTTTCAAATGTAAAAAAATAAGAAATGAAAAAATAATAAATAAATCAATTCAATTTTTCTTATGTCAAAGATGGTATTTTTGTACATTAATATCGACTAGCATATACTCGTATAAGCATTTGGTTCAACTAATTTTTGTCCTTGGACACTGAAGAACTGAATTTAGAATGGTGAATTAAGTATTGTGCTTTAGGTGCGTAATTAAATAATAATATGAAAACAATCTAAGTCGAAATGTTTTCTATAAATAATAAAAAAATTAACACTTACAATTAATAAGCATTTTAAACTTGTAAGCACTATAATACAACACTTCAATCGTTTAGCATTAAGCACTTATAAGTAAGTATGTATTGGGATGCTTGTTCTTACATTACATTTTATTGCTTACATGATATATTGGCAAAAATGATCCTAATTTTTGTAATAATTACTACCAAACAGAGTTTGGTGAATCTTTTGAGCCAAAACATATATATTTACATCAACAACAAACTTGTTGCTGTTGGTATTTTCAAAACTTTACGTAAAGTAAAAACATGTCGGTGGCACTCCAGTTAAATGAACTATATAAAACCAAGTTAGATTATAGAAATATTTGAGGCATTATCCGTATGAGTCTGTAACTTCAATGGTTAAGTGGTAAGTACATACACCTATAATAATGACAAGCATATTTTCATAAACGCACTTCCACAAGGAGCATTTTAAAATGTTTGATCAAAGTAGTGTTAGATATTACCTAGCTACATTGTAAAGGCAAGGAGCAAGGACGGGTAGAAAGCGTTTATCGTTTACTCTCTTCTGGAAATACAGTTCACGAAGGTAGGTTTTACGTAGTGTCTCAGTCTTATAACTTCGTTCTGTGCGGCTGAGAACTAAACTTAAAATTATAATTTTTAGTCAGATACATCCGCGCGGTTAAAATTTATTCATCAGCAGATACAAAACTTAAATCGATGTGAATATTATCCGATAGTGCTATTGACTGTAACAGCTAGTCACATTTTAGTAACCATTATCATTGTAAACTACGAAAAAATTAAAGCACCCGATGCGTCCACTTATTTTTGTTCATGCGCGACAGACACGCATGTAACTTAGTGTTATGGATACCGTTTGAAATGTTTCATAAGCCTGGCCGTTTATTAGACCTATAGTTGGACGCGATCAGCTTCAAACATCCAATTTTAAATACGATTGGACTCAGCGAGAGCTGAGGACGCGAGGACGTGTCAATTTATTATCGACGAATTATAAAATTGGTCCATGCATGGGGGGCGGGCGCGTCAGAGGAAGGTCCTCGCGTCGTTATGGCGAGTGCTCGCGATGCGTCGGCAGAAGTGAAAACGAGCAGGTATCGCGAGCGTCGCAGACGTCGCGGGCGGCTCGACTACCGGCGACCGCGAGCCGCCCGCCAGCGAGCCGCACGAGGAGGACTCAGCGAGCGAGCGTGTGGAGGGCCGGGAGCGGGGGGCGCTCGCCTCGCCTGCCTCACACTACCTGTAGAACGAGTGTGAATGAGGGGGCGGCGGCAGTGCCGGCGGCAGGGGAGCATGCGGCTCTGACGCCGAGCGCTGCACCCCCGGCGTGCGATCTCCGCGCTCACGCCCGTTACGTCCACGGTCGCGATCGCCAATCCAATTCCATTCCCACGGGTTCTACAACATATTGGCATGTTTTACACAAATAAGTATGACTTCCTTTTATTATGTAAGAAATTGTTTAATACCTCATTCGTTTGGGGGACTGATAACGACGCCTTGGGTAGAGGCTGTGACGGTGTGTGGGCTACGTTGTGGTGGGAGGCCTCACGTGCTTGTAGGAGTTGTAAAATCCGTCGGACATCTGCGGTGAGACCAGTTTCTAGGACGGCGACTCTTCTACTTAACTCTTCTAACCTTGTCAGGATAGTCGCTACTGACGATGCCGTTGCGGCAGATCCTACATTTTGATACTGAGGCGATATGACGTCCTGTAACATACGTTATTCGTTTTCTAGCACCACGATATTATAACAGACTTGAATAAACTAGTTATTTAATTACCTGCATCGCAGTCTGTACCCTCTCAGCAGTAAAGGGCAATGCTGTAGGTCTTCCAGTTTGATGCAAGTTGACAGCTGAGTGAGGAGCCGAGCGTGACGTGCGTCCTATAGATGGCGGGGCACTAGGCGCGAGGATATCATCGCAGGATACGTGGACGGGTGCTGGCGCGGGCGGGCTGGGCGACGCGTTCGTATAGTACGAGCTAGGGTTCGTGCTGAGACTAGATACAGGCAGCGTAGCGCTGTGAGCGGGCGTGCTGACCGCTGCTTCGCCTGCCATACCGCCAGTTAATGGTGAGGTATCATTTAACGGACCAACGGAAGACTGTCGGCGAACGGCTGCACGACCCCGATACGTTTGAGGTGTTGACTGTGCTGGAAAATGTTTATGTCTCCTATTTATATTAAATATAAAAAGTTTTAAACACCATTTTAAAGTTTTGTTTACTAATTGAATACATATAGTATGATAAGGTTAATAAATTTTAAAATTTTATAACAGAACTTAATATCGAATAGGAATAGCATAACAATTTATCAGTAGAATCATGCAACTAGAGATTGTATATGCATACTTACAGTACTTGTTGTGCAGCGGCTGGTGTGTTTTATGGTGGTAGAGGTCTGGGAAGCTCCGTTTTAGTTGCGCTAGCATGCCTGCACACAAGGGCCGCGCTCAGAGCGGGTGACGGAGGAACGTGGACGTTATATTATTTTATAATAATATATTTAATGTAACAATACTTTTTACTACTTTTTTAATGTTTAAAATTCAAAAAACATCTGATATATGCCTACATTCCTCGTCCACCGTTTACTATCGAATGGGAAAAATGTGGGATCAAAAAGCGTAAAACATGCTGCCGTAACACTCTCGGTTATTGAATTATTATTAGTTTATAACTTTTAAGAATATGTTAAACAAATGATTAATCATGATGGGATATCGCATAAACTTATACGAATTTTTCTCCGATCGCACAATTTCATTCGACTTAATGAATACTATACTTAAAATTTTAAATAATTATCTTTCTACTTAGGAAGAATAAAGGTGTATTGTACTAAACCATCCTTTAGAAGACATGGAGTCAATATTTGAGATTAATTTAGCTATTCGTTACTTTAACAATAAAATAGTTAAAGGGTGATTAGTACAAATGTTTATTTGTATGCTCTTAGGGACTTTATTTAAAAAGGGGAGTTGCACATCGTTCCATGTCTATGTGCATCTACACTATAATCAATCATAATTCGGGAATGAACACCAAGCACCACATTTTCGTTCCTCGATTATAAACTTGATTCATCAACTTGTTTAACGGAACATTTTTGTTGTACTTTGCGTTTTAAATAAATATTTATTAATCTTTTAAATACTTATAACTACATTCCGACAGTTTATACAACCATATTAACCTGTGATCGAATTGAGAGTTGTCGAGCGTTGTTTGCTGAAGTTAAAGTTGAGAGGCGTGACATCCTGGCCGGCTTTCTCCGCAGAAAATTCGAGAATTCCTCTACTGGGAGGAGATTCGGTGTCTTCGTCGCTACACTGAGAGTCCTGCAACCAGGTCTTTAAAACTTACTCTATTTAAACAGTTCAAGTCTATGTGATTCTATGGAATTAATATACAAATTATGCTTTGAATCTGAAGTAAAATAATGCAAAAATTAATTAATATCCACAAAATTAAGATGGTTTGATAAATACCATTTTTTCAGCAAACGTCTCAGTATGTGGCCTTCTAGTTGTACGAGCATATGCCTCCCTTAGTAATCTAGCGTCGCATGGGTTTTCATATCGCATACGACGACGTGGTTCAATACCGCCCAGCTCTTCCTACAAATATATAATAAGTATAAAACCTAATATGTAAGTCAAACTAATTACAATAAATTGAAATGCTGGTGTTTCAGAAATTTAAGCTAATTCAAGCATTAACATTTATAAAATTATTAATTGAATCAATCATACTAACATCTCGCATATTGTACGTTATTTCTAAGCTATTAACAAATGATGCGCGGAACTCTGGATAGAAGTCTAAGACGTCTAACAAGTCATCTCGATGGACACGGTGCAAGTCACAGTAAGTCAACGCTCGTACGCGACAATTGCTACGACCCACTGTATTGTGAATGCAAGGATTCTCGCCAAAGATGTCATCTTTACCTGTCACATTAATAAAATAAAATTTAGATTTCATATTTTTAATAATTTCATTCAATATTGTCAGGGAAAACTAAATTTTAGATTTCAACGAGTTGAACTTACCTAATATAGCCATTACAATGTCGTCTTTGAGTATTTCGATTGAACCTCTAGAGATAAAATACAAGGAAGTTAGAACATCTCCCCGATGAACTAACGTTTCGCCGGGAGGAGCATGCGTAGTTTTAAATCTCAATGAAAGAGCCCTGAAATAAACAAATAATATATTATTTCTTTTACGAGTATTATACTAGAAATCTTATTATCTGACGTGTCTTTATAGACACTACTATAGACACTACTTTATAGTAGACTAAATACTTTCACCATAGAGAGAGCGTATTGAAATTGACACTTGTACGTATAAACATGCCTTTGAATGAATTTACTATTAAAGCTAAATAATATTATTTTACCTTAAACAACCAGGACTAGCACCATCAAAAGCTGAACAATTAGCCAGTAAATTTCTATTTAAATGTAAACAAATATCAGCTTGAAGACATTCAGGGAATCCTTTTAGTACACTCGACGTATCGATCCCGTTTGTGTAACTCCATGCGTGTTGAAAATATTCTTCTAATCGTTGTCTCAATGGATTAGTTATCTATAACAACAATTATTGATTTACCTAATATGATACTTGTTAAACTATTTATAAAGATAACAAAAGGAAAGACGGCATTATTATCTTTTTACCCGGATGCCACACAGAAAAACAAGAAAAAAATATCTATGTGCATATGTTTCTTATTTATTTTGTTTTTAAAGATAAAGAATAATTATTATAATATATTAAGCTATCGAATCTTACTATTTTTTAGTAATAACCAAAATATATTTCTTTATTTTAATGTTAAATATTATTTTTATAATTTTAATATATTGACAATGTAAGGTAATTACATATTGAAGAAAATTAATTGGATTCAAATTTAAAAAATACAATATGAAGTAATAAAATTAAACATGTAAATATTTTTATAATAATGTGCGACATACAAATGTGGTGTTGTGAGAAGGCACATGTCAAAGATTAAATAATTTGATATACCCACATAATGCATTTAAAATATAGGATATGTAAATGGACGTATATCAAGTGAAGTCATTTAAACTTAAATTAAAACAGATTCTTACCTGATGAAACCGAATGAACTCTCGTACTCTTAATATTTGCGTATGATATCTCGCCGTTCCTGAATAAAGCCTTTGTATGATTGCAGATACATTGCCGAAAATACTAGCATACATTAGAGCTGTAAAGTAATTATATAAATTTCTTATATAGTTTAAAGTGTTTGGAAACATAAATTTAATCACAAAATAACTCACATCCCACAAGCATGACGAATATCGTGAAACCCTTTTCCATATCCGTATTTGGAGCAACATTGCCAAAACCAACGCTTGTTAATGAAGTACACGTGAAGTATAAAGCCGTTATGTACCGCGATCTAAAACACGAAAGTTTTTTTATTCATAAAGTAAAAATATATTAAAACCGATTTAATTATTTAATCCGACGTACCTCATAGATGGGCCGGTGGAATTATCATACGATGCTTGAACATCGTTAGCGAGAGCATCAAGCCAGCCAATAGGGGCGTGCAACTGAGGTCGTTCCCAGCTTCCAATTGCGTACCTGAGTATAATATTGTTATGTCATAATTTTATTTAAATATATGTCATTATGTTGAGTTCACAAAAAAATAATTCTTACCACAAACAAGCTAGCCAGTGAGCGATTAGAACAAAAGTAGCCATAAGGAGTAGAAGGACGGCAGTACCATATTCGGAATATCTGTCAATTTTTCTCGCCACACGCACAAGTCGCAAAAGACGCGCGGTTTTCAGAAGACCAATCAGTGTCGTCGTCTGTAAACACGGAAAGCACATTGAGGGAGCTGCATCACGCCACAAAAAGCTACCTCATAGCCGCATACCCGAACCAAGCATTATATGAACGTTCGCGTATCACTAAATAGCATTAATGAGGCTTCGCAGCGATATTCTCTTTAATAAGCAGAGGTTTGACTATGGATATTACGATACGAGCGTCTTCGGAGCCCAGCCATACAGGTTCTGCGATTACAAGCAATGTCTCAAACTATCAGCTGGCTTGTTTATAGTTGCGGTGCAGAAAATTGTAAATCTAATATTCAATCTGATTTAAATATCTCATGTTATTGTAATTACTAACTAAAAATTATCAAGGCAACATACTAAGATTGTTATCGATCATTCTAACCTAATAAAATTGAGGACATTATACCAATACAATTAAATTACACAATCTTATCATTCGTGATTATTTTAAATAGTATTTATCTTAAAACTAAGCGCAAATATGATTGTGATGTCACAAGTGCACGATGGCGATTATACAATTTCACAGGTCAGGGTCGGTACTACATTAACTATTGGGATTCCGGATATCTTACTCGAATTAAGTATAACTACGTTACAACTCGAAATACTTGTTTTACTTTACACATTCGCATTTTAATTTAATTCGATAATATTTATTTCTACTAGAATAGATATCAAATAAAAGAGCTTTCCAATTAAGAGTATTAAATACAGATTACAGAATCATCAAAATAATCTAGAAATTAAATAAAAATACCTATAATAATTTAACAAAAAATACAATAAACCAAAAAAATAATAATTTCAAACGACCGTCCTACAGCGTCTATATCATTTCAAATTACCTGGACTTTCTATATAAGGTGGGTGCCACAAGAATGCTATGATTAAATTACATATATTTTAGTGCTTTGTTATGTTGTGAAAATGATATTTTTACAGAAAAATAGTCTGGGAAGTGTGAGCGTATTTACTACCAAGCTCTGTGCACTTGGTGATTTGCACATTTAATATAGATTGTTATAATTAATCAATAAGCTTATGAAAATGTTCAGTTAAGGGCTAACGCAGACGACCGACAGATTATCGGACCATTATCAATGGCCTAAATAACATATAATATACATATATAGCATAACTATATATACCTAGTGTATTATTTGCTCTTGGTTGACTCACTAACGGTCGGCAAACATTTTTGTCGATCATTTGTGCCAGACCTAAATTAAATTATAAATTTAAGGGAGTTTTCCTACTGCGGGTTCAAAGCTCATTAGGGCCTTCCTACATAACAATAATTATTCAAGACATATTTAAGCGTGTTGAGTTCAATAGTATTTGTGTTAGTAGCTTTAAAGTAAAAAGAACTATTGAGGACAGTGTTCTCTCAATAAAAAATGTATTGCTCTAATATATATTTGTATATACATATATATACATACATATATGTATTGCAGTATACTTTCAAACGGGCATTTTTAAAAGAATCGTGTTTTAAAAATAATTGAAATATTTTAACGGAGTCTTTAATGTCATGCCAGTAAAGATGAAGGCCTTTTTTACCTTGCCTCTAGTTGCGTTCTACGTCTCTGCAGGAAACAAATGAGATTTGTCAATACTATATAATATATTTAAGCTACCTTGCATCAAACAAATCCTGATAGGAAATATCAGAAGACTATATTGCATTTATGCACTAGAGGTAGAGCGAAAGCTATAGCTACTGTCAAAATCAATGCAGGTCTTATATCTTTCAATATTAATTAATTTTTCGCCCCGTTGATTATACTCGAGATGGGTGGCGAAGCTTGTGATATAGCAAGTGAGCACTTCATAAACTTGGCGCTGTGGTAAATTTAAAATCAACTTTTGCTCATGGGAAGCGTCCTCATCTTCCATTAACTCATTCGCTTAGTGGATTTAAAATGGCTAGTGGATATTAATTTAAAATATAAAAACTAAAATGTAATAAATAGAGTGGCAGCAACATAAAAATAGTTCACAAAGATGGTATACCTCATCACTTTCCAGCCCCTGCTGTAACAAGAAACGGTATTACAAATTCAGTACGCACCCACCTTGGGTTCTCTCATACCGACTTTACAATAAACTAAAAATAATTATCCATTTTAAATCATATATAGCATTTAGCCTACAAATTTGAAAATAGCTCATAATATCGAACAAATTACACAAAATAAAATAATTTTAGAAATCATAATTACCTGATAAAAATCATAATATACATTATAATCAAAGAAGTATCTTACTATAAATTGTATCTGGCCAATTTTAATAAGAGTGTGGGGGCTTTGTGATCGGCATAATAACGATTTGTATATTCGTGTAACAATATTCGAGAGTGACTGCTGCGAAAACTGCATTCCACTACTGTACGTGATTTTGCTAAGACTTTATCCAGAGCTTCATTTGTCCGAAAATAACACTGGGGGCTTTGTTCATTTAAAATATAGTTTGTGGCGATTCTGATTTATATTTCATCCTCTTTAAGTAATCTTCGTGAAAATATAACTCGACCTACTTTTCTAACGACCCATTTTATCATTCTCTTAACAGAGTGAATCGTGTTTCGCGATTTTATCTTACATAAGAGGAATGTTTTTATTAATATACGTAGGGTTTTAATTGAATTTATAATTGCTACGTTCTTTTGCTGCCGTATGGTTTGAATTTTCTATAATTTAATAATCTAAATGTAATTCTAATAACGTTTCGGACAACTGATCGCCTGGTGATGTTACCATCTAAATCAGGCATTTATTTTAGACACTATTCTATGTTTATTCATGTGTTTGTGATATAATAGATATTGTGAATTTGTGCAAGTTAAGGGTGGCTCACTTCGTCGGTGTCGGTTCCGAAGAGCAGCAGGTCAAAGGGAATGGCGGCGACGAGATCGATCACAAACCATCCTTGTAGGTAGTGCTTGGCGATCTTCCCAGGATTTGACTCCACTTCATCAGCAGCGTTTACGTACGTTGTGCGGAAGTTAATAAGTATGTCTATTATGAATGTCACGTCCACTGAAAATAGAATCGTTAATATTAGATCTGGTATGGCTCATGTAACATATTATAGATAGATATCTTGTTAACATGTTAGCAAATCGATGCTTTTGTCACTGTTTGATCAGTGAATGTTCTCTAAATAGTTTTTTACAATGAATGCAAATGAACTAGCTCATACTTTTGTGTATATTTTTTTGTAGATAATTACAAAGGTTTTACCTATCATATCAATAACTACAATAGGATCCTGTCCGAAACCACGAGAGCGTTTGTCGAAATCCGGTTCATTTAATTGAAATGCTGCTACATACGGAGTAAATATTGCGGTGTAGATGACTAATATCAGAATCAACCAATCCCAAGCGGCCTGAAACAATATTATACAAATGATATACTTTATATAATTAATACTTTAAACTTGGTGGAAGCTTAATATCTGTTATATAACCCACGATTGTTTCTGTATTTTTCACTGTAAAATCTTTATTCAAGCGTTTAACTACAGACAGTTGTGGACATATCTCTTACATAGTAACAAAGTTTCATGTAAAAATGTTATGGTTAATAGAAAGTAAATGAACTGAAAATAGGTCATATTTTTAATTCATGTTATTTTTTTTTGTTTTTCAGTAACGTCAAACGTCGTTCTGTTAAACCGTAGATAGATTTTATATATATTTAAAAGTTGTGAGAAATATTTAAGTATTCGTTTCTATATTTTTTTCGGACCGATGTACATGGTTATTTGACCGACAGATCAATACAGTATCGTATGTTTATGAGTTATTACATTATTTCATTTAAATTCATAATGTGTAGGAATTTGTAAGGAAACCTCGTAGTTATTATTTTGACGATAAGCTTGTTTTTTTAAATTGCTGTAAAATAATAGCGTGCAAAGAAAAGTTGCGCATTTGCGTGCCACGAACGAGGTCGATGCGACAAACATTTTTTTTTCATAAACAGAATCATTATAAAATTCCCTAAACTACCGCTAACAACCTGGAATTAGGAATTTTAACACTAAAATTATTTATTATCAGGTAATTTTATATACTGTTTACATCAGAAAAAAATTTGAGACAGTATCGTCCTACATTTGCCATTAAAGTAAACAAAATTACATTTGCTTCCCGGTTATTATATTCTTAGGAAAACAGGAAGTTTATTTAAGGAAAGAGCGATGTGTTTGTTGTAAGTAGAGTTTATGAATTGAGTCACCTACATTTATTTGTCATTTTACTTGGTGAAACTAATATTTTGGTTTATCTTTGCTTGTTCTTACTCGATGAATTCAGAAATAATTCTTTATTTAGTAGACAAAGTGAAATAAATCACCCTATTTCGAGTTTCAGGATTAAATACAAGGCGATTTATTTTAGTTTCATTTAGTTTTAGCGTACAGGCGGTACTTACAGTTATTCTGAAACTACTACATTTTGGTACCATTTTGGTAATATCAAAACTATATAGACTAAGCTTCTTATTATTCTCATAATTGTACTTATTATTCCCATAATTTTATAATAAAGTGCTCATTTATACTGCAAATGAAATAACATTAAAAGTACTATGGACATTATAAATTAATTACGTCTTATTTTATTTTCATTCATTTATTATTAATCTAATCTATTGTCGTAAAGCGCATTATCTACTGCAATGAATTAAAGGAGTCTATTTTATACTTATCTTCTACTTCTAAGGCATCCAATAATGACAAAAATAATTTAATAAAACATTTTAAATAATAACGACTAAACTAAAATAATTAGAACATTCAAAAAGTAGTTCACTGACACGTTGTCATAAAGAAATAATGAATAATCATTAAATTTTTTAAAAAGTGCTTTATTTTGTGCCCAAAAATTTAACGTCATAAAAGTCGCTAACAATAATAGGACATATTTAAAGAAATATATATTTTTTAAGTCAGTGGTGGCCTATAGTTAAAAGGCCCGCCTCTCATGCACGGGCGCGGGTTCTATCCTGGCCCTGGCACGTACCAATGTGATTTTTTCGAATCATATGTACTGTCTTAGAGTATTTAGACATCACTGATTAATGCATTCCCAAAGAGGGTTGATGTCAGGCAAGCGGCCGGTCGTAAAAACAATTAGGCAAGACTATTCACAACATATAAGGCAGACCCTGGCTAAAGCTGGGAAAAATTGCCGGGTAGAAGAAGATTTAAAGAAATATTTTTTATCAAGGCGTCAATATTCATTCTTCTTATATTTCATTTTCATAGATACGATGATGTCTATTATTTTTTAAATTTATGTAAAGATAGTGTAATTTATTTTTTTTAAATTTCAATTATTCATTCAATCTTATTTCTGATCGGAATCATAATGCGATCCGTGCGCTATCCGTGACATCTTCGAATTAATCAACTTATGTTACGCTATCGGAAAAATCATAAGAAAATAGTCTTATAAAATAACTTTCGTTTCGTTTGGTTTAACGGAGTTGTTTCATTTAAAGAAAGTACTTTCCAATTGATTTATAAGTCTCTTAAGTTTCGGATTATTTTATATATCAAGGTATGTTCTTGTATGCCATAAATAACTTCAATTTCGACCACACTGTATCTTACTACTCAATTTCTATCGTTAGCAGTTTATGTTCGTACAATTTTAACCTTGAATCATCACTTATAAAAAGTTATTGGATTCCTGCGACCTACATTCTGTTATCTTAAAAGTTATTACTAATTATTTGTAAATTTCTATCATCAAAAGCTGCAATAAAATAAATGGAATGACAAATTTAGTTGATAAATCTAAAAATATTTTACGTTAAATGTTCTCAAGCGTTAGAATTGTGAAATAGAAGAATACTTAAAATAAGTGCGAAAATATAATCATTCTTTCAAAGGTTCTTCGGATATGAATGACTGATAAGATTTTTTTTTCAATTCATTGAGATTTTCTTACCTTATAAGGAGAATGATGAAGGATCGTGCAGGGGTAAGATGGTTGCGTGGTTCCCTTGTGCCCGCCCGTTGCGCCCAATGACAGGACCTGCAGACAAAGAAACATAACATACATATATACATAATAACACATAATATCCATTTGTTATCCATTATATATCCATATCCATCCACGAGCCATCCATTTGTTACAGTCCGAAGATAATGTTTTTCCGTTCATACATACCAGAGAGGTAAATTTTTATACATTTCTTACTGCTAAAATAATTAAACTTCTCATAAAGTAATCACATAAAAATCTTAATTTAATCTAAAACGTTTTATAAACAGTATTTAAAAATAATAAAATTTTCTATTAACATTTCTAACTAAGATATATTTATTGTGAGCCAATATAACGATTAATAAAATTTTCTACTGGTTATGCTAAAATAAAATCGATATAAGGAAAAATATCTATAGCAATACAAATATTGTTTAATATTTATTTCAAATAGAACAGAAAATCCATTAATTTAAGTAAATTCAATATTCTTATTATAAAAGAATGTTTTTTATTATTATTTCTGTACAATATATTAAGTTTCTTATATTTCAGTCAACACCTAGTTTCAATAATAATTTGTCATAGTCCATAAAAAGTTATGTTTTCAATTGTAAATTGTTTTGCTTAATTGTATTTTTATTATTATTTGAGTTTACAATCTGTTTAAAAAAAATTGTCTTAACTCCATCATACACTCTTATTTAAGTTAATAATAAAATATTTTAAACTTTCTACTGAAAAAATGATCAAGAGGTTCATAATTAGTTTTATTATTTTTTGCTAAAATATTTAGAGAAATCGAAAATATATGTATGTCATTAATTTTAATTTAAGAGGAATGTTATTTTGTTTTGTGAATAGAGAGTTGACATATCTAAATCAATCGATAAAACCGACCTAACCAGTCGGTAATAAGAGTTTTATAAGAAAAATCACATAATATACAAATGTTTATTTGTAACCTGAAATAACACGAGTTCTTTTGTTTCTCAAAAATATTAATTCATTCTTACCTGATTTTAATTAGTCATATATTTAAGTCTTTATGTTTCGTTGTTTGCTATTGAACAGTATATCATTTTATTACAACTGAATACGGTCCATATTTAAACAAGAGCTCTCTTAATTTATAACTTTAATTGATTGTTGTAAAATGTCTATAAAATTCAAAAGATGGTTAAAAAGTGTTATCATATGATACAAGTAAAAAGTATTGGTACATTTGATGACTATTTTCCTACAAATATATTCTTGGCTTACCTCTGTCTTGTTTCTATAACTAACGACATATTATGAAATCGATACATTATTTTAATTATGACACTATATTATATTATACGGTTAAAAATAGTGACATTTCATTTGAAAAAGATGATGTAACAATACAGAGATCTAGATTTACAAACATATTTCTTTGATATGCATTCAGGCTATCTCCACTCTATATTTTACTTCCATTAGTAAAAATTAAGCTGGCATGTAATTAATTACATAAAAATAAATAACACATGGAATTAATTTGAGTCTGTATTATAAAAAAAACATACAATTAATTAATTATATAATAAATTACACGGATATTTTTTTGAATGTTCTTTTTCTACTTTTTCCTATTTTTTTTTATTACTTCGTAATTTTTTAAGTACTATTATTAAAACTACATTGGTTTTATAATATTTACGTTGGTTATATAAGTATTTTGTGGTATGCACTGTAAAAATTGAAAAAGATTAAAGGATGGTGTTGGTATAGATGTTTGTAATTTGGAATAATAAATGAATGTTTCATACAAATCTATAATCTAAAATACAGTAATGATAAAAATACTTTAAGCGGTATCTGTCCGGTACGAATCTAGTTTCCTGTTGATAATATTGTGTAATGGCTTGAATGAATTTTAATTAAAACGAATGATAATCATATAGATATATGGTATATGTATGGTATATATGATGACGGAATTAATTCGGACACACACAATAAAAAAAGATTTAAGAGCACTTCTTGTAAGACCAGCCATTTAGAAAATAAAGTAGGTTTAAATGTAAAAAAATCAATGTGTTTTTGATTTTTAAAGTGACGAATAGGAAAGAGAACAAATGTCTATTTGCACTTGTAACAGAAAGCAGTCCTCTAGGATTACGATGAGTCTTAAGGAGTTAATTGAAATAAGAAAAAGTAGAATCTATAGACACGTATTACAAATACTTACATATTTTAACTTAAAATGAGATATATGGAATATTTTATGTTTTTGGGTAAACTATAAGCATATAAAGGCTATTCTAAAGTTACATTTTAATTAGAAGTGTTTCTATTTTTATTAATAATTTAATACGATTTATTACAATAATTTCTCAAGGAATTGAACAGACGTGGGAAATAAATAAAAGTGTTTTCTTCTTAGCTCTCCTGTATGATGATATGATTTTTAGAAAGGTTTTTGTTTAATGAAGGAATAAAGTGCTATAAAAAAGTAATGGCTGGATGAAACTGCAACAAAACGTGACGCAAATAGTGTACGTTGGTTTAAAATTATTTATGTCACCAAACTTAAATTAACCGAACGCAAGAAAACTTTAAACAAAAATTCGCCTAAAGTAAATTTGCGATGAAATAAAAAAAATGTTTCTTAAAAGAAATAATATACTTTTTGTCTTTTTTTCATATATAACAAGCTATCTATTGAAATCAAACAGACAAACTTCTTTTAAATCGAGAATTATTTTTTTTATTTCTATAAAAATAAAATTATGGGATCAATCATGAAAAAATACATTAATATTATTAAATTTTGATAAGAAATATACTAAAACTAGTACATAATAACTATATAATTATTTTGGATTATATTTTTAACAATAAATTAAAATCAAATGAATACAACTATTGGCCAAAAATCCAGTTTGCCCTTCACCTCGGCTCAGAGGATAGGTTATTCACATTTTTTTATTCTTTTTTTGCAGCAAATTAAGTAAACAATGATAAAGCTTGAAGCCTTGTGAATACATAAAATTCAAATCGTCAATATGATTTAATGGTTAAAAGTAATTTGATATGTCCAATCGTCAGCCAGAGATACGTGAATTACCTCCTTGCCGATGGCGGGCAACCCGTTGAGACCATTACAGGGCGGTTCAAGGCGTACGACGCTTTTTCGGGAGCCACGGAAACTGGTGTCACGCACACGCACCGAGGAGCGCCATGTGGAGGGGGGCGGGTCGTCGCGGGAGCCCCGGGCTGATGCGGCGCGGCGCGAGGTGGTCAGCGCTGCTCCAACTCCTACCGCGCCGACAGCAGCCGTGCACGGTGGTGTCACGATCAACGGCACGTCCGGCGGCCCGCGTTCCTCCATGCCGCTGCCGCGCCAACGTTCTCACCGAAACCCTCCGTGCTCCGACGCCTCGAGGTGTTCACATTCCAGCACGGCTCTTTCGTAGGCCGAGGCCGTTTCCAAGAGAGCGATCGCCGTGTTTTGCATAGATGTGCTCTTAAATCCACTTGCTCGTCTGATTTTGATACGTATTTTTACGTTAATATAACTTAAGTATAAATTAATATAAAATCTCAGTATCAATACTGTCGATATGTTTACTATGGTATGGTTTTTAAAAAAAAATTATAATTTAAAAAAATAAAATAAAAATTGTAATGATGGATGTGTATTTGTTTGATCTCGACACCACATATTAAGTTAAACGAAAAATTTGCATCACAATAAGGATGCTTCAGATAAATGAAACAATTAGACTGGTAAGGATGCTTTTAAGATAAATGAAAAATTAGACTTGCTTTTAAGAAAAATTACATCCGTCAGACCTATTGTTTTTAATACAAAAAAAAATGACGTTACAGTTTGAATACATTATATTTCTTAATGAAATGTGTTATTACACAATTAAAGTAATGTAGAAACCTCTTAAATATTAACAATAGAATTTGGAAAAATCATTGTCGCATATGACTTTTGTATCCATGTGTCCAGTAATGATCAGTTTCTGTGATATTTAAATTAAAATTATGTTGAAGTCTACAAATAGTAATTTGTGGTCTAGAATAGCGTAAATAAGGGCTGAAATCGCAAGGGCTGAAAGCTGCAAACGAGGCCACGGCTTATTCAACAGTATGTCAACGGGTGGTAGACCTATTCATAGTTTTGCACCTAACATTAACATTTCCTTTCTCCAACAAACTTGATTTTCGCCTTTACGTCATCGCCTATTCTTTATTGATATTTATAAAATATATTCTACACTGATGATTACATAAGAAGGCTCGATTGTTCCTGCTAGAAAATTCCGGCAAATACGAATTCACTGCGAAACGTAGGAACGTAAGAAAATATTTTTACGAATTTGGCTTTTCATGAATAATTGATATCGAGATAAAATGACATGGTCTGTAGAAAAATAGAGCGTAAACAAGATATTTTTACAAACATTCATATTCATATAGGTCAAAACAATGTAAGTACTCCTAATTTTGTAAGAATTTCGTCAAATTTTACAGTAAATGTATAAATACTAAAGAAAAATATAGAAATAAGTCAAACTATGGCGTGACTGAATATTTTCAACAACAAAATAAGTTGAAAAAGAAAAAATAGAAGTTTGTCAAATTCTAACCTCGTAAGAACAAAGCGATGTTATGTAAATGGCGTATAGAATTGAAATGAAATATAATAATGGCGGGTGGTATGTACCTAGCATAGTTACGTCATCATAACAAGTTTTTCATATTAATATATTAAATAAACCATTACTTGTAACAAACTTCTCATACATAATCTATTTATTCGCGATTTTATTATTTATATTGTTTTAATTTAAATATTTTGTAGTCATAACATTTTAAATTCACCATCAAAATTAATTCAAATATTTCCATCATTTCTTTGTTATTAGCCGTGCAGGTTGTTTATTTTACATGCTTAACTATTTTCTAATACTGCTGAATAACTACTAGAAACTACTTAAAAAATTGTGTTGAAAAAAGTGCTAGTGTTAGATCGAATCAGCCGTTTCATGAAGTCAACTGTCAAATTAATGTTGACATTCTTTAAGATTAAAAGGAGGGAGGGGCTGCACTCTCCGCATAGCTTTACGTCATGGTATATATATTTGTGTTAAAGATATTTCAGCTCTAAATATGGCCACAGTAACGAAATATATGTACATATTGTCACACAACTGTCTTATTTTGTTACGTTTACAAGCTTTAAGATAATTAAAGCATTTTTTATTAAACCTGTCAAAGCTCTTCTACAATATTATTTTATTGAATAAAATTGAGTTTTTTTATGCACATTGAACTCAGTTTAAAGAGGTTGTAATACGAAGCTAATACTGTATCTATATGTCTACCATTACCATATCTGCGATACAATTCTGCCAAAAGCTATATGTTATTAAAAATTATTTATAATTTTTACTTAGAAAAAAATCATGAATGAACGTTTTATTCATTCACAGAAAGCATAAATACCATACATCTAAAATTATCACATATCAATGTAATGAGTAACTACCGATTTCTTTACTAAAAGGAATAAGTGGTATATAACGTAGACAAAGGAAACCATACCATGGTAGTCATAACTCCAAGCATGGATCGCGTTTTATCACAATAATAGCAAAAAATATAAAACGAAATAAAAAAAATAAAAGAGCAAAGCTCGCAACTAAATTATGGTTAAAAACACCTCTCAAGAACCGACGCACTGTCCACAATACGAACTAAGCAGAGGACGGCACCACTCGATACTTTTATATTTTGATATGCACAAGCTTCCGATGATCACTTCGACTCGTATTATTTGACGGAAAGCACCGTAGATTTCTTTTAGCGCAACAAAAGACGCAAAATTTGACAGCAAAACGATAATAACAGTTTTAACTTTTTAATGCAACCGATCGATTAAGCAAGCACTCTATTCATTTTATTTTACGTTTTCATATTATAATGGAAGCCTAGAATGAAATTCGTAAAATTTTACGCTGGGAAGGCGTTAATGATAAAAATTCGCGACGTTCAATAGAGACGAAGCCTCTGGAACTGATATTTAGATAAAGATTCGATGGCAGTGTGAGAAGCGGTAGAGTCCGCAACGTGGTCACCGGACTTAAACTCGCGGAGGGTGTGCGGCGCACGCAAGAGGTCGCTGTCGGCTTGCGCGCGTCGACCGTTAGCGCCGCGGCGGCGCCCAGACCGCCTCGCGCCGCGCCCGACAACACCGGAGCCTCCCGAACGACGTGACCTCGCACAACCTCCCTACCTATCGAACATTTCAACTGAAACGCATTGTCGTCATTCCGCTCGAAGCTTTACGCCGTGTGCGATGTATCGAATATATTCCGACGATAGCGTGCGGCTTTTGTTTAAATCCGCCATTCTATTGACGTCGAATACTCTGTACTATGACAACCCGTGAGCACTATGTCTCTTTATCGACTTTTCTTTAGATAACGACATAATATTAAACGAGATAAAGGATGTTACATAACATTCTTTTTATCGAAAATTTGTTTTGATCAATTCATTTTGAAATGGTTTGGTTTGAAAATAACTGTAATAAAATAGGGTGACCTTTTTTGAATATTTTAGTTAGAAAAGTGAGTTATTGTGTTAAAAAGTGCGTAATTGCATATTCAATATAGATACCTAATCTATTGCAAAAATATTATGAAATTATATTTGTTATTCCAACTTACAATAATATTTAAATGAAAAATATGTCAATTTTTGTAACAATATTTTTTAACAACAGCCGTAACCTAAGAACAATAAAGTTTTTAGCACGATTGGTTTTATTACTAGTATTAATATATATTTTTTTAATCAAATTAATCTTAAATGTGTTCATTATTCTGTTTCTAAGAGATATTACTAAAGATAATAAGTTGAAGGGAAAACCTTAACTTGACAAAATAATTTTAGATAAGAATACGTAATAAACATCATATTGTGTAAATATATAGTTTAATTATCAACTGATATAGTTGATGACTTTTAACATTTGTCTGAAAGAATGCTATTATGTTATAGCAACAACTTTTTTACAGATTGCAAAACCTTACAAATTTATCTTTCGTTTTATATTTTCTGATAAAACTTATTATTTCTTTCATAACCTATGAGTAGAGAAATTTCTTCAGTTCGGAAATCTCCGCTTTATGAATTTTCTCAATTATCAGTTAAGATATTTTTTAAATAACATTAAAAAACACACAATCTGAAATAGTTGGCATTAACATGACCAACTGAAATAAATTTTTATTTCGTCTGCCCGTGATCACTGTTGCTGCAAAAGAATTGAAACGTCGGGATTATGGAGTTAAAAAAATAAAAAACCGTAATATATCCGAAAATATTAGTTTTATTTATATGAATACTCGTGAAACTCTTAGATATCATTACGTAAACCCCTGAACATTATTGTCACTAAATAATCACACACCAAAATGTCTTACATCAGTTTGGAAAAAGCTGACACTCATATGCTGTTGGACCGATATTAATCAAACATAGCTAAGAACCATCCCAAATAAACTGGCCTCCAAATGAAAAAAATCATCGAAATTTGTAGATCCATTTGAGAGCTACAATGTCACAGACAAATATACATTCACACAGAGCTTGACGTCAAACTTCTAACACTCCTTTTTAGTGTCAGAGGTTAAAAAGAACCTCTGAAAGAAACAAGAAATTCTGAAGGTGATTCAGAATATTCAAATATAATATATAGATAAAAATGTGAACTGAATTTGATACTTCATTTATTTTATTTGTTAATGCAAACAAAGAAAAAATAAGCCTTAGAAGAGACTTCTTGTGTATTTTCTAATTGTGTTGCATTTCTTTTGTCATCTGAGCGATGTTCGTTGCACTTATACCTTTAAGTGTTATCATTTACTTTGTTTAGAACTGTCGTATTTATATATATGAGAAATATCATATCGCTCATAAGGTTGCAGAGTATTGTTTGAGTGGAAAAATTGAGTATCTTTTTTAATTTAAAAACACGAATAAGATTTTGAATTCCATTTGATAGTGCTGTATCTAACTTCTTATGCCAGAGGCAATATTTTATTGACGTGTTTTAATTTAATATATTAAAATAATTAACAATAATATAGTTTACATGTTTTTGTTAAGGACCTTTAGTTTATTTAATTTGAAGATTAGTGTTAACAAATATAAAAGTGTTGAAGACATTTGTTCATAATTAACTTTAAAACCTTTAGGACAACGCGATAGGTATTAAATGATGGATCAATGGAAAGCTTAAATTGATCCTAAAGAAACGTCCCATAAAGTAAATCGTATACAGTAATCAAAATGTTTATATTATGTTTTTCGGATTTTGCTCACTTATTTTACTATTTGACATTTTACGCGATGTTTCGTTTATTATTATATTATTTCGTAAGGTGACTGTTGATAACTTTGTTTTGTGTCAGCATTTCAGAAGTTAAGGAAAAGGAGATCATAATAAAGAATAGTAACGTATAGAATATGCAGAGTTCCTCGAGCATTGCCCTACATGTGTCTATTCCATATGAAAGGATGAATTGTACATAAAAGTAGACGGAGTTGCAACCGATTCACCGGTTTCCCCCTTTGTAGGTGACATACACATGAAGGATTTCTAGGTGCGAGCCCTTTTCTCAATCTTTCGTTATACGTACGTACATAAGACTTTTACAATATTACCAAAAATGAAATGACTTAATCTCTTCTAAATCATCTTAATTTTATTTATTTGTTAGATTTAATGGACCATAGAATTGGGGGCAAATTAATATTTAGCCTTACTTTTCATAATTGTCATACTTGTTAGATTTCATCAGGATTCCTTTACTAATAACGATATATTATTCCCTCTTTCTTTCATAGATTATATTGTTTTTAAATCAATTTATATTGTTTTTAAATCCTTTTTATGTTCATACAATTGTTGGTCTTTTATAAATAAATTGAAGATTCTGAAATTACAAATATGTACAAATAATTACGTTTTTTTTTTATTAAATGTGTTTAAATAAATTTCATCCCCATCCTTAAAATCGTATTTTTTTCCGGGGATAGTTTAATTTTCTTTCCGTTAGTAACAAGATGACGTGAGCAACTCAGACAATGATAATGGGTCAATATGGGTTTAATTTATAAAATAACAAAATTATGTGCCATATGACATTCACGGTAGTCTATAAAAACAAAAATAATTAATCAATATGTTCCATTAACAATACTTACTATATCGTAGTTCTGAGCGATGTATAGATTGTAAGGTTTTCGGACTTTCCATTCTATGTCAGTAAGCACTATTTAATTATAAGATTCAAAATAATGCCACTAAATCATGTAAATATAAACTTTGTAATGATTATTATTTTAACTATGTTGCACAGTCTATTGGTATCTCTTATCTTAAAATTATATTTACAATTTTATTTTTTGTCTCTTTTACTACAAAAATATAAATTAATGGTACTGCGGCTAAGCAAACATTTTCTTTGTACGGCGTCCAATTAATATTTGAAATTAAATTGTGTTGGCCAGAGATTGTGTAGTTTCTCATTCTAAAATAAATCTTTTGGAAGCTTTATAGCAGAATATAATTTTTCATTATTTTAAAAAATAATGCCTTCGCTCCAACACAATTTTTAGAAACAATTTAAATTTTGTTTATTTGAAATTGCATTTATAAAAACACCTATATTTGATTTATCTTTAAAACAAACGAATAATATTTTTATTTGGTGTCTCTGAATCAATTCAATTAGATATAAATGTCATTACAGCAGCTTACATTTATTAACTTTTGTATTTTGTTTCTTAATTTATATTCACTAATATGTACTATATAAAAATTTATAATTATAAATGAAAAAGAAAAACATTTACATTGTATTACCTAATTGCAACTGGCAATGCATAAGTCATGGTGTTAAAACGTTGCAAATTAATTGGAGGTTGGTCGTTAGAGCGTGCAATTTCGACTGCGGAGTCCCAAAAGCTACTTGCGGTGCTAGTTGGGGCTAGCACTTGACTTGGATCGAAATGCATTCCCGCTAAAGAGAAAGTTTGTTGTACTTATAGGCATAGCTACTTACAATTGCCAAGGGCTGCTGAACCAACCGCTATTGGCACGCGATAGGTCAAGGACACCATACACCTTATAAGTATAAGTCATTATGTAACGTAACAATATTTAGTCCACCAAAATCAATAGTTGCTAGTAAACATTTTATTTCATTGTTATGCTTGTTTTTAATACAATATTTTTTTTGCTTTATCTAAAATCTGAAATCTATCAATGAATTCTGATAACATATATCGAAATTTATTTGGATTTTATATTACGTTCAAAGTTTAATTAATTGTTTATTATTATCAATGAATCCTTTGAACGTTAGAGTAGACAAATGACCACAACTACGTAGTCGATTTGGTTTTTTGCTTGAAATATAATTATAATCTAATCTATTTTTTATATTATCAGATTAATAGAGCATATTATATAAAAAGATATCTTGAAAATATTCTGTATGGAAGAACGTTAAAAAATAAAGAAATAGAATCTATTGCAATGTAAAAATATATGGACTTCCAATATTAGAAAGATATACCAGTGGGTGCAGTTTTGTGTTTAATCCAAAAGGCTACTGATGGGTTGATAGGTAATTTCATCGAAGGCTTCTTTCACAATATTACCCACCCAAACAGATCTTATCAACAATCATAAAAATATTACCAATTTTGGGTAAAATATGTATAAATACATACAGCTGATTTTAAAAGTTAGATTGTTAACAAAAGGAGATGGATGTCTATAAAATTCACATAATATTTAAATTCCCACACAAACAAAAGATGTACAATTGTTTACAAATTGTGTTTTTTTTTTCAATATTTTTTTGCAACAAAGTTAAATTTTTTGTCTACCTCTTCAATAGGTACAGTGATTACAAAAAACTGTTACATTCCCAGTAACAAATTAAAACTGTAAAATTTTAAACTTGCCCAATTTTAAATGTCTATACCCTGCGGATATCTCTATATGTTATCTTAAAAATGAGTTCATTTTTAAAATTGTAATGAACCTCATCAATGGTCGTGAATATTAGAAAATATTAGTATTTTTTAAAAAGGTTTTAAGTTTAAGCGATCTCATTTTAACTTTGAACAAAATATACATCTTTTAAGTCCCTATTTAACTTCACATTTCAATTTTATCGACTTGTAGGCAACATAAGCCAGTCTCCATTTTTGTCATCTACTACTAACG